TTTAATAGAATCCAAAGGCTTTTTTTCAATCCCAACTTATAATTTCTCTCATAATTTTCTTTGCTCAATTGAAAAGCTCCGGAAGAAAACCACCTGTTCATCTTCAAGGTTGTTGTTTTGTGTGAAGGTGAGGTATGGTGGGCGTCTGAGAAATAATTTTGAGAGTAACAGATCAAGAATACAAAGAGGATTTACTTTAGATCTGGGATCACGAGACTCGTGGGGGTGGTATTGCAGATCATTTCATATAGACACTTAAGTTAGCAACTTGTTTGTTCTTTGTGCTTGCATACTGAAAAAGAAAAAATAAAAAATAAAAAACTTAGGGATTATTCTGTTTGTGTTTCAGTTTTGTGTTTTAAATTCATTTTGGATTTTGTGTTTTGAGTGTCCATTTTTAAATTGAAAACACCCAAAACGCGTTTTGAAAATTTTGGATTGATTATAACTGAAAACACTTAAAACGACAAATTTGTCGTTTTGAGTTTTTTTTGTAAATTTTTAATACGTTTTCAAAAACGCATTTTCAAAAATAAGAAAGAGAATGCGTTTTTATTGTTTTGGAAAATCGAAAACAGAAAACGGCTTGAAAACAATAAAGAGCACAGGGCATTAGTTTCTCTTTCGATTTTTGGCTATGTTTTCTTAGCTGTAAGAGTATTTGATTTTTTTGGAGGGTCCTTACTACTGTAAAAGAAATTACCTTGAGCAAGCAAATCAAGGCTGAGAGCCCTTTTCATGCTGGTACAGTTATTCTTTGAATTTCTCAATCCATTTAGCAATAGACTAGAATGCCTTGGTCTTTATTGTTGTTTCAGTTTTTTTATTATAGGAAGGCTCAGCTCTGTTTAATCTTGTAGCTTTGTTTGCAGAAGTAGAATTTTCGACATAAGGACCCCTTTATGTTTCTTAGTTGTTTATATGATCTCTTATTCATTTATATCCTGTTAATTTGGTCTGTTAGTTGTTTATATGATCTCTTATTCATTTATATCCCGTTAATTTGGTCATGTATCCCCTCCACCATATGTTTCTGCTCTGTGCTATAATTGCTAATGTTTTAGTATAATTGGAATATGTGGGCTGCAAGTGAAATTAAAATTCATATCCTCTGCATTTGCTGATTTAAGGGTAGTTGGTCTTTAATTTCCTATTGAACCTGCCAAGAAAGAACAAGGAGACAGGTATTTGTGATTAGAAATCATGTTTGGTTGATTTTCTCATCAATGGTTTTTATTTGTGGGAAACCTTCGATATATTTTCCATTGGATATTGGATATGTTAATGTAAAAGAAATATCCAACATTTATCTACAAGATTTGTGCTTGAATTTTAGTTATTCTTGAGAAACGTAATATGTGATCGGTTCAACAGTCTATCAATTGTGTTGGCAATGAAAAGTGATGATTTTGAATTTGTGATATATAATTTTATTACTATCAAATTATTTGATCTAACTGGAAAATATATGTAGGTGTTATTTCTTCTAAAAATGTCAGTGGAAATGGGACCGAGCTAAGTAATCCAAGCAGCAAGGCATCATCTGCTTCTGTACCTCAGATTCCTCGGAGTGAGGGTGAGATCTTGCAATCCTCCAACTTTACAAGCTTCACATTCAGCAATCATATAATGTGCATCCATTCCTTTGCTTACCTCCTCAAGTAACTTATTTAATGTTAATCTCTTTTATAATTACAAATAATATAAAATTATATAATGTGAAAAGTTTTCAAGAAAACAAACAAGATTGCTACAGCAGCTTATTATGTTCAGTTAGAACATTTCTATATCTTAATCTGATAAAACTGTATAAAACTTGACAACTATCTGAGAATGTAGCATTTGAAAAACACTCAACATTCGCTAGAACGGGATAGCCAACAACCAAGCAGAATTACTTTCAACTTCAATTAAAGTAATATACCCCACTCAAATTGTCTGTGTAGAATTCAATCTCCTGTACTTCACAATAAGGTCCAAAAAATGATTTATTTTCATATGACCCTGCAAAAAAGAAAAGCAAGAAGAGTAGCTAAACAATCCATATCTCCCTTTTTTCCCATCCCAACTTGTAATTTCTCTCATAATTTTCTTTGCTCAACTGAAAAGCCCTGTAAGAAAACCACCTTTTTATCTTCAAGCTAGCTGTTTTGTGGGGAGGTGCAATGTGGTGGGTGGCTTAGAACTAATTTTGAGAGTGACAAATCAAGAATTTTAAATGGATTTACTTTAGATCTGTGGTCACAAGTCTAGTTGGGGTGGTATTGCAGTTCATTTCATATAGGCACTTGAGTTAGCAACTTAAAACAAAAAAATAATAATCTTGAGGTTTTCTTTTGATTTTTGGCCTTGTTTTCTTTGGCTATAAGGGTATTTGGGATTTTTCCATTTTGGAGGGTTTTTTAGTACTGGAAAAGGAATTTGCTTGAGCAACCAAGTCAAGGCTGAGAGCCCTTTTCGTGCGGGTACATTTATTTCCTGAATTTGTGAATCCATTTAGCAATAGACTAGAATGCCTTGCTCTCTATTATTGTTTCAGTTTTTCGATTATGGGAAAGCCTCACCTCTGTTTAATCTTGTAGTTTTGTTTTCAGAAGTAGAATTTTTCACGTATTTCCTCAGTTGTTTATATGATTTCTTGTCCATTTATGTCCTGTTAATAAGGTCATGTATTCCCTCCACCATATGTTGCTTTTATCTATAATTACTATTTTTTTAGTGTAGATGGAATATATTGGCTGCAAGTGAAATTAAAGTTCACCTACTCTGCTTTTGCTGAGGGTAATTGGTCTTTAATTTCCTATTGAACGTGCCAAGAAAGAACAGGGTGATAGGTATTCGAGACTGGAGATCCTTCTTGGTTGATTTTCTCATCGATGGTTTTTATTTGGGGGAAACCTTTGATATATTATCCATTTTATTATATGTTACTGTAAAAGAGATATCTACCATTTATCTACATGATCTGTGCTTGAATTTTAGTTATTCTTTGGAAATGTAATATTTGTCTGGTTCAACACACTATCAATTACCTTGGCGATGAAAAGTGCTGATTCTGAATTTGTGATATATTATAATATTTGATCTAACTGTAAAAATATATGTAGGTGCTGTTTCTTCTAAAAATGTCAGTGTAAATGGGACCGAGCTAAGTAATCCAAGCAGCAAGGCGTCATCTGCTTCTATACCCCAGATTCCTCGGAGTGAGGGTGAGATCTTGCAATCCTCCGACTTGACAACCTTCACATTCAGCTATCATTTAATAAGTGCATCCATTCCTGTGCCTACCTCCTCAAGTCACTTTTTCAATGCTTATTTTCTTTCTAGTTGCAAATAATTTTAAATTATATAATGTGTAAAGTTTTCAAGAAAACAAACAAGATTGTTACAACAGAGTATTATGCCCCAATTTTTTAAAACTCATTTTCAGCCACACATTTTATAGACCCACAACTTTTGTCAACTTTTCAGCCATGCACTTTATCAACTTTTATCAAAATCTACTAAACATTAGATTCTTAGCGAAACCACACAGGTGCTAAATGTTGAGTTAGAATATTTCTGTATCTGAATCCGATAAAACTGTATAAAACTTGACTACTATTTGAGAATGCAACATCTGAAAAAGATTGAACATTCACAAGAACAAGATAGCCAATTACTTTCAACTTCAATTAATTAGCTGAGTTGATATTGATTAAGAAAGTAATATACCCCACTCAAATTTTCTGTGTAGTGAAGACAATTTGGAAAAGCAAGTCAATCTCATGTAGTTCACAAAGAGGCCCAAACAGTGGTTTATTTTGAGAGTGATAACCCAAGAATGTTAAGAGGATTTACTTTGTATCGCAGTCACGAGACTTGTGGGGGTGGTTTTGCAGTTCATTTCATGTAGACACTTGAGTTAGCAACTTGTTTGTTCTTTATGCTTGCATACTGAAAAATATAAAATAAAAAATAAAAATCTTGAGGTTTTCTTTTGATTTTTGGCCTTGTTTTCTTGGGCTATTAGAGTATTGAGTTTTTGGAGGGTTCTTTACTGCTGTAAAAGAAATTTGCTTGAGCAACCAAATCAAGGCTGAAAGCCCTTTACATGCTGGTACAGTTCTGAATTTATCAGTTCATTTAGCAATAAACTAGAATGCCTTGCTCTTTATTGTTGTTTCCATTTTTTTATTATGGGAAAACTCAAGTCCGTATAGTCTTGTAGCTTTGTTTTCTGAAGTAGAATTTGCGACATATGAATCCAGTTGTGTTTCTTAGTTGTCTATATATTTTCTTGTTCATTTAAATCCTGTTACTTAGGTCATGTGTACCTCCACTGTATGTTTCTCCTCTGTGCTATAATTGCTAATTTTTTAGTACAGGTGGAATATATGGCTTGGTAGTGAAATTAAAATTCACATCTTCTCCACTTGCTAAGGGTAATTGATCTTTAATTTCCTATTGAACCTGCCAAGAATGAACAATGAGATAGGTATTTGGGACTAGTTTTTCTGCTTGGTTGATTTTCTCATCAATGGTTTTATTTGGGGAACCTTGCATATATTCTCAGTTGTATATATTACTGTAAAATCTTTCTGTTTATCTACTCGATTTGTGCTTGAAGTATATTTATTCTTAAGAAATGTCATATGTCTTCGGTTCTACAGTCCATCAATTACGTTGGCAATGAAAAGTGCTGATCTTGAATTTGTGATATATAATTTTAGTACAATCAAAATATTTGATGTAACTTGAAAATATATGTAGGTGTTATTTCATCTGAATATTTCCATGGAAAAGGGACCAAGCTTAGTTCAAGCAGCAAGGCCTCATCTGCTTCTGTGCCCCCGATTCCTTGGAGTGAAGGTGAGATCTTGCAGTCCTCCAACTTGAAAAGCTTCACATTCAACAATCTTAAGGCAGCCACAAGAAACTTTTGCCCGGACAATGTATTAGGTAAAGGGGGTTTTGGTTCTGTTTTCAAGGGATGGGTTGATGAACACTCTCTCACAGCATCAGAACCTGGGGTTGGGATGGTGATAGCCGTAAAGAGGCTAAACAAAGAAGGGTGGCAGGGTCACAAGGAATGGTTGGTATGT